AAGGGTGGGTGATGGGAGGGGAGGGTCGCCACTCGGTGAGGGTTATGGCCGGTAGGTAGCCAAGGAGCACGGCAGCCGACGGACCCCACAACCACCAAGCTGAAAGACGACAACAACAAGGGGATTCATTTAATTTCAACGAGGCAAATGGCTATCAGACTAAACCAGGTTTCGAGCTCAGTCATGGAACGAATTCAGCTCATAGGTCAAGGTACCACTGTAAATCCCAAACATGAGCCGGAGTGTTAGCATGAGCGCACACGCCCGGAGGGGTTGACTTGAGAGAGAGACGCTGACCTGAATGCGGATCCTGATTTGCAGTGTACTCTTGAGACACGTGCTGGTTAGAAAATCTGCTGCCTCGTTAGAGGCAGCGGGATAAAAATAAAAGATCCGAAATGTGTGTTTGGTTGATTATCGCTCTGTTCTGACAATGCTTCTTTGCCTGGGGCAAGATTCGTCGTTACGACAGAGAAATTAGTTACCGAACAGACACTTCCCAATCTTTTGCTCAGGCGCTGACATCAATTCTTAAAAAAACTCACCTAAGAGGAGCAGTAACGGCAGAAGAAGCAGCAGGAGCTTCCAGAGTCTGGGAAGACATCTAGAAGTAACATATCAGCAAATGATAAGATTCACTCACAAAGACAAAAGAATATGTAAAAAAAGATGGCTTGGTGCTCTTACTGTGTCAGAAAGAAGACGTTGAGAACAGAGATGAGGGAGGCAAGATGGTACCAGCCACTGGCAAGAACCCAAATTAGACCCCGGCCTGCCTTCACTGTGTCCAGATTGACAACAAAACATCATCAGAACCTCCGAACCAAAGAGATTCTCGGGCGGCAAGAGAACACGTGACCAACCTGGAGCTGAGAGAATTGTCCACAGCAGTGTGAGGAGTCTCTGTGTCAGCGTCCCAACACCTGAGCCCAAAGCTTTAGCACCTCTCACCACAGAATGACCCGGCTGGAGGAGGTAGTAACCTGGAAACGCAAGCGCCGATTAGTCACCGCTCACGCTCTAATCAACATCGTCATCATCATCATCATCATCATCATCATCTCGGCATTAGAGGAGCGCCGGTCAACCTGTGCAAGCCAGAAGGCTCCACAGCGCCCCCGCCAGGCGCCGAGACCTGGAGGACTGAGTGAGGAGGACGGTGTGTGTCTCAGAGTACTCCTTCCCTTTACAGTCATCACCTGCGTGCAGCAAGCAACGTGAACACACGCACAAAAAGCATGCATGAATTGACATCTACAGTAAGATGAATGTTTAACATTAAAAATGAATTATATAGTAAACCGGCGCACACACACAAAAAAGTAAAATTTTGACAGCACAAAACAAAAGTGGCTCAAGGCATGCATATTGCACGAGCTGTCATGAACACAGACCTCAACATATATGTCTGTTGAAGCAGAAACCAATTTTGTTCAGATTTGGGACAAGTCTAATTCAATAAAGATTGTGAGATTTTCTTCCAGCTCATTTTTTAAATGTCAAAGGGCCTAAAAGTTGAATTATTTGCTCAATTATTGATCAGTTATTTGAAAATACCTATCAAAGGTAAAAGAAAAACACTTCAGCCACCATTTTGTTAGCTTAGCCTAGCATTTTGCCATCATTTTGTTAGCTTAGCCTAGCATTTCTCAAGCCATTTTTATCTTTGTGTCACAGTATGAAGAAGTAACACCCAAGTGCTTGTTAAAAGAAACATTTTCCCCCTTTGTGTCTGTGTAGATTCTCAATCACCAAGGTCATGTAAACCCCAAAGGTTGAATAAAGGCAACTAGATTCCTCGTTTGTTCAATTTGTTGTTTGTTTCTTGTTTTCCAAAAACTTTCAAATATGACAATGCTTTAAGGTTTAACAAAATTGGAATTCCTAAAAAAGGAGTAGATGAATTTAATTTACTTTACAGTGGTTAGCTTCTAGTTATACTTTAAGACAAGTGTCAAAATGTAACTTCAAAAAATGGCCTGTGCAGTTAGCATTTTATCATGACTACATTTCTGACACTGCTACAAATTAATCGGACATGATTTCTCATTAGAAAATATTTTTTAAATGATAACAACTCACAAGTCAAACGGGATCACACAAACAAATTGTGTTCAACTTTGTACGTTGCGCTGCGAGCATTCAAATTATATTTGCCATGATGATGACATGATTTGGTGGTGAGCATAGCGTCGTTTTGCATGTTGGATTAAAAGAAAACTAGTCAACTATCACATCATAAGGTGTGTGTGTGTGTGTGTGTGTGTGTGTGTGTGTGTGTGTGTGTGTGTGTGTGTGTGTGCTTACATAAGGAACCATTGAGATTGAGATGCGATGAGTCTTCTGTCACCAGATCTTTGACATTCATGCTCCCACAATAACTCGAGTGAGCTGAAATACACGCAAAGCTCATTTGTATTTGAACGTTCCAATGAAAATCTACAACAAAATGAATGGATGATTACAACAAAAAAAAATGTCGCTGAAAAACCTAATAATGCAAAAATGTTTTGAACGTCATCCTTTACTTACTCATGGTAGGTTTTAATATGAACTACCAGGATAAAAAAGACAAATATGAACTGGACCTATTTCCAAATCTGTTTTAAAGTAAGTGTGGGCCCTGGAAACACAAAAGTTCGCCCAGCTTGTTTGTGAGTCAAAACATGACAACAGCTGAGTTGAGAAACAATGCGCTGGATTTTTCCAAGCCCAAGTTGAGTCAGTCAAACGAGTTTACATATTTATCTCAAATGGACACTCAAGAGTGAAACCAAGAGGGACCTTTGACCTTGTGTTAAGCGGGCGACGTTACCTTGTACTTGAGAGTCTTCAGATCTGTCGCCCGTCACCCTGCGTTTGAGCAGCCACATTTGAGACAGACTGGAGGACGCCGTCTGTCTCAGGGTGTCCGTACACGATGCAAAGACGCCCGCTGGAAACAAGGGGCCCCGAAACACAGACGTCAAAACACACGCAGTGGTATCAAGAAAGAAAAGAACATGTAAAAATATTATTATTAAAGGAGAGGGTTGGTTATGGGTTAGTCCATTGGTGTCCAAACTATGGCCCGGGGGCTATTTGCGGCCCATCATCCATTTTTCAGCGGCCCATGACAAAAAAAAAAAAAAACAAAACAAAAAAAAAACAAATGGGCCACAAGATTAGTTAAAAAAGGTGAAGGTGGGCAGAGTGAGAAGGGAGGTTTTTAAAAATAATAGGCCCACAAAACGAAAACGTTTGGACGGTGATCCGCGATGCGTCTACCTCTTCCCGGCGTGCCGCTCGTGGTTTGCGTGCGCATCCAGAGCACGCTGCTGTAGAGCATAGTGACGATCGAGACAAACGGAGCCAGGACTTTTTTGCTCAGGCGCACACACGTATTCGACATCGAAGTTAGGACACCTAAGGAGAAATCGACATTTGAACCTAAGAAATCAGCTTTTCAGCAATGTCTTCATTTCCGAGTTTCAACTTCCGCACCTGTCTTGCTCTTCCGACTCCTGTCTCGGGAGTATACGCTTGTGAAAGGTGACGACGAGTAGGAGAGGGCATCCGTGCACATTTCCTCCGCGTGTGATGATGGCGACGAGGATGTCAGTGATCGGTGTGTGATGAGGGAGTCATTCGTTTGCGAATGACACGAGCAGTCTTTACAGATGTAGCCGTTGGCGAGCGTCGCGTGGGACTTGGAAGCGCCGGCGTCGCCGTTGACGTTCGACGAGCTGAGCTCGGAGTGGGACGTCCTGCCTGAGGACAACAAGGGACACGTGAATTTAAAATGACGCTTTTCAAGAGCCCTTTTACCATGGCAAGTCATTTTGCAATGTTTTCAGTGCCTGCATCTTTGATTTTTTTTTTTTGTGTGTGAATTTACATTTCTGACCTCTCTTATTAACAGGATAACCGTGACATGTTCATCTCAAACTATTTTCCGAACTGACCCCGGATGCCGTCGACCGTCATAGTGGTTGTGGTCGTAGTGATGGTGCGCTGGCTGAGCCGAGCCTGGTCCCCGGTGCCCGTGTGCCGGCTGGCGTCAAACGCCGCGTTGCTTTCCTCCACCCTTGTGCTGCTGTTTATCGGCGTACTGACGGCCGAGAAGCTGAGGTTCTTCCTCGGCGTGCCGGCTTGGCTCAGGGAGAAAGACATGGCGTTGGAACTGGACTGCAGCTTTCGGCTCCGCAGGGTCCTGGCGGAAAGAACGCAGAAACACAAATGTGGTCAAAATAAGACATTAAACATTAAAATGTGACTCAAGTATTGACTCGTTCAGTACCAGCCAATTCTAGACCAAGTCTGAAAAGACGTTTAAAAACGTCTTTGGGAGTGAATGAGTTAAAGATGATCATAATATCACTGCGATTTCCTCTGCAGTTAATTCACAAGTCGGACGTGACTGCATTAACAGCGTGCAGATACGAAGACACTCACCGTGACTCTTTCCTGGTGGTGTAGCTGCTCTGGCTCTGGGTGTAGTCCATAAGGCTGTCGTTGCCATGGTGACCGGCAACGGTTTGCAGACGCAGGCTCCGACGTGACATCCTGGGCGACTCGTACACCGGAGCAATGTGGTGCTCCTTCTCAAACTCTAACGCTGCCGTTGAGTAGCTGGAGCTGGGGAAACCGGGAGACAAAGCGCAAGAGAAACATCAAAGCAATGTCAGCGAGAAATAGCAAACGGCATTTAAAAAAAATGAGGACACAGCCGGAACTCCCAGAGAAGCTTTCGTTTTGACCGATGAAAGCAAAATCGACCCGGGGCTGAGTGTCCCATCGAGAGAGAGAAAGCATCGCCGTTGTTTACTGCAGCTGGCAGTGCGCCCAACAGGAAGTGACTCACCCAGGATGTAAAAAGGAAAACAAGACAACAGAGTAGGCAATTGGAAACACTCACCGCATACCCTCAAAGCACGCAAATTGACACACAAAAACAATGCGCCGTGCAGCGATCCAAAACGCAAGCATGAAAGTTGTAAATTGAAGGCGGCCATCGATCACGTTGCGCTGAGTCACAGGGCCACACCCACCTGGCACAGCACTGGGAGGCGAATCCAACGAGATTATTATTAACTCATTCAGTACCAGCCTGCCAATTCTGGACCAAGTCTGAAAAGACGTTTAAAAACGTCTTTGGGAATGAATGACTTAAGAAACCCAAATCTCAAAAATGAAGACGGTGTCAACGGTGTGGGCGGCGGGTGTACGCACGCGTACACGTCTCCGAACCGGAGTTCCGATTTAAAGCCTGAGGATTACACACTGCCACCTCTATCCAATTATGTGCTTTGGTGTTCACTCAGCATCCTGCTTGCTGCTCGAGCTGGCTTCTCCAACACACTTCTACAGCTCACGTACCGCCATAGATAGTGTTCTGTACAAGTATGACAAGTCCAAGGGGGATCAAAGCGGCGTAAATAAGCAGGCCGCTGTTAGCCATAGCCACAAGCGACTGTGATCCTTCATTTGGTTGAGGGGAAATAAAAATCTGTCAAGCGACTAATTGCTCACTGCATATTAGACGTGCGCTTCATCTGATCAGCAGCTAATCGTTTTCCAGTTCGGGCGCCCATCCATATCAACATGTCCGCCGCTCACTCTCAGGCGGCTCCGACATCCCACATCGGGGATATAAATAGTGACGGCGATTTTAGAAGCGAGAGAAAGCGGACAGACAACACAGCATAGACTACAAAGATGCTCGCCTTCGGACAACCGGCTTCCAGGAATCTCTCCTTGCATAACGCCGGGTTTTGATACCCTTCCCACACTCAGTGGGCGCTGCCGGCTGTCTTGCGTCACAGGCACACAACTTAGCAGATGGAGTTGACTGTTTGCTTTGCTTCAGGAAGCTGGTGGAGAGGTGACCAAGACACGGGTCGACGGTTAATGTGAAAAATTGGCGATCGTCTCAGCTTAACTTTCAAATTAAGAGCCATTACTTGGCAAAATTTTGTTTGGTGTTTTAAATTCAGACTTGCCTCCAAAATTTGGGTTTTAATTAAGCCTCATGAAAGAAAGAAAGAAAAAAAAAGGCACCGAGATACCCTTGCATGTGGGCAAGGAGAGCCAGAGTCACCCATCGAACGGGACAAACTCACAAATGCAAAATGAGCACACTCACAAGGAGCAAGGGTTGATTACTGCCATTTCAACTCAGTTGAATGGGCAACACTTAAAACACCGTACACTGTACTTCATTCATGTATGTAAAACAACAACCACCCCTCCTACCCCCACCTGCCTAAGTGACAGCAGCAAAACCAGCTTGTCCACTTTATTCACTGCATCCAAACAGCTAAAATCGCCTCCATGAGAACGGCAACAAGTGGACGTTCGCCGCCAATACGATGCGTGTTGATTCGCTGCCATTCAAAAGCCGTACCACCCACTCACATCTTCTTCTGTATATTGGATGACAAAAATACCCCCGTCTCAATTTCACGCCATGTACGATGCACGCAATGAAGCTTTTGGTACTAGAATTAGAACAACCAGACCTTGAAAATCAATTGTTGAAACTGGTTTTCCAAACAACTATACACACACACCTCTATTCAGTTCAAGGGGTTTAATTGATTACAAGCGTGCTCCAAAAATGCAAGCCGGATAGTCCAAACTTGCTCAGACACAGCGCTATTCATACGATGAACTGAATTAGCCGCATTTCACCAACTGACTCGCGTTCATGACCTGTCCAACTACACCGTGCGTGCAATGACAATTATTCCGCACACAAAAGCAGTACAAGTCCGTTTTAAGCAACCGGGATGTTTTCCTGAACACTCTCAAAACCATTCAGTGAACTTAAACCGCACTAATTTCCCCTCATTCCCGACCGGGACAAGATGAGAACATCGCGCACTGTCATCGTGTTTCCCAAAGACTGCAAGAGAGCAACCAAAATCCCCTTGAGATCCAGAGGCCCCCTGTTTACAAGCATTTGCCAGGACAGACGAATCGTGAGGACTGCAGAATTGCCAACCAGCTCACTCTGGGCGGGGATAATTTGGCACAGATTACCATCATTCCTTCCCACTCGCATGTTCCCTCCCACAGACTTTTTGTCTCTGCCTGACTTTCCTTCATCGAGTTACTCCCGTCGGCGGGGTGGTGGCTGATACTGTAGGTCAGCGGTCCCCAAACTTTTTCCTGTGAGGGCCGCATAAGCTTTGCTTCTGTGATG